GTCCTCGGTCTTCAGACTGTTCATCTGTAGATAAAGTTTACTGCTGGAGTCATCTCTGGAGATGGTAAATCTACCCTGGACTGACTGGGAGTAATGAATATAAGAACTACCTGTGCTTATATAAGCAAGCCACTCCAGTCCTTTTCCAGGAGCCTGTCTAACCCAGTTCATTTCATAGCTGCTGAATGTGAATCCAGAGGCTGAACATGTCAGTCTGTGGGATTCTTCAGGTCTTTTAACCACTGGTTCAGATGGTGTCAGAGTCTGACCATCAATACCTATTCAGACAAAAATGCATGTAATGTATTAAATTAGTAGCAAAAATAATTATGCATCAGATTAAGATCAGAGAAGCTCTTCACCTGCCCAGCAGATAGTTAACAGCAGCAGTCCTGTCCTATAGTCCATGTTCAAATGTGTGTCCACTGTTCTCTGTCATCCTCTCTGCAGTCAGATAAGTAGAGGTGGAAGACATCTGAGTTTTGCATTGACTCCTCCTCACAGTTAGTATCAAAGTAGATTGAGCTTTCCATTCTGTTTGTATTTGTGAAAACGCTCATGTATTTATGAATATATCTGTATTTTATATTTTTCATTGGCACCTCACTGGACTGAATTATATCAGACAGACTTACAAAATTTACTGGTAAATCTTTCTTGTATTTTTTACAGTGTCATTATTTCCTAACAGTGACAGTAACAGACTTTGCTTCTCTTTCAAAACATGAGAAATGGTAACATCTGGCTGAAACAGCATTAAATTTGGATTTTGATTAATGAGAACAACAAATGAATTAATTGTATCTTTGTATATTGAGTAGAGATGGAAGACATCTGAGTTTTGCATTGACTCCTCCTCACTGGAAGGAGTGAACCAGACCTAATTTGACCATTGTAGATAATATTTGTTAAACTCATGCATTTATATTGAATTAGTCTTCAGAGGTTGAAGTTTTTTGCTCTCAATTTTACTTGTAGAAAAACTGATTTTGCTTTAAGGAAAATGTTCATAACATTTATTAATGATACTTCTCTTATTGTTGTGTTGTATTATATCATTATTATTAGAATTCTTAGATTTTCTCAGACCAAGCCTGCAAAGGTGACATTGCTAAAATAAGATTTTAATTAACTAGTGATACTCTTGAATTGCTTGTATGTTACATGCATATGTTCATGTGGTGTGGTTTGGGAAATTTCTACACATTTGATTTTGGTTGTTGTCACTGTGGGCTGATATGTAACTGTGCCTTCACATATGTGCTGTTTCTTTCTACTCACTGTTCCACAGAAATGTTTCTTCTGCAGAGCTAAACCTTTATTAGTCCCACAGTGAGGAAAATCACAGTGTCATAATAATTTTAGTATTATCATTTGTTACATACATTTTGTTATGGCAAATTGGACACAACCTAAAAAATTATGCCAATTGTTTTCAGATACACTGTAGACAACTTTATTCTCTCATTGCATAACCTTAGACTACACCAGTGATTGTAAAGGATTTAAATGAAACTATTATGTGTAGTTTCCATATTTAGGTATTTATTTATACTAAGGCCAAACCCAAAATGAGGAGTATGTTTTTGTACAGCTGCTCAACCAGCTCCAGTCACGGTGGCTTTGGCACAATAATAAACAGCAGAATCTTCAGTCTTCAGACTGTTCATCTGCAGATACAGCTGGTTTCTGTTGTTGTCTCTGGAGATGGTGAACCGGCCTTGGACTGACTGACAGAGTAGTATTTGCTACTGCCACCAGCATCAGTAGCAGCAACCCACTCCAGTCCTTTTCCAGGAGCCTGTCTGATCCAGGCCATGTAGTAGCCACCAAAGTTAAAACCAGATGCTGTACATGTCAGTGTGTGGGATTCTCCAGGCCTTTTAACCACTGGTTCAGATTCTGTCAGAGTCTGACCATCAATACCTGGAACATTTTAAACAATAACATAACATTCACATGCATTTTTCTGGTTAGGCCTTCTGTTTAAAAACAACTTAATAACACAAATAAATACTTTATCAAATTAAGACCAGAGAAGCTCTTCACCTGCCCAGCAGATAGTTAACAGCAGCAGTCCTGTCCTATAGTCCATCATGTTCAACTGTGTGTCCGCTGTTCTCTGTCGTCCTCTCTGCAGTCAGATAAGTAGAGGTGGAAGACATCCGAGTTTTGCATTGACTCCTCCTTATAGGAAGGAGTGAACCACACTGGACTTGACCATCATAATGTAGATATTGCGTGTCCAACTTAGACTATGATAGTAAGAGTTAGAGTTGTAGTTTGAGCCAAATTATTTTGATTCATTTGATATGAATTTGAATAGTCTTCAGAAGTCATCCATTTATATTGTAAGTAAGGTTTATTAAAAAGCAAAATCTAAAAAGTAAAGTTCAAAGTGCAAACAATTGTTCTATTCTTATTTTCCTGACATAATCTTTGACCTTTGGCCAAACAGAGTTGATGTGTTGTGCCCTATCCAAACCCTACATAAACTGACTACATTAATGATAAATAAACTAAAACCAACCTGTTTGTGAGCTGAAATGGAAAACACTGGAACATTATATAAAAACTTTTTTACAACACAAATATTTTTGTTAAAAATACATGTCGTGTGTTTCTGGGTATTGTGAAGGTCTGTTGGTGGTTTGTATCACTACAGACTGACACATTCTGTCCTTTTATAATCAGTCTTCCAGCAGAAGTGTCTCTGCTGTAAATAACATACAAACAGCTTTTGAAATCATCAGTGGTCTGAGGGCTCCTCCTCTGGTGGCTTCATGTTACAAATGTTCAGGCTCTGAAGGTTTTTGGTCAGGTCTACTGATGGTTTGTGTTACTGTGGGTCTCTGGCACAGTAATACACAGCAGTGTCTTCAGGCTGCACATTCTGTCCATTTAGAGTCACTGTTTTGCTGGAAGATTCTGTGGAGATGCTGAACTTGTTTTTGAGTGAATCTTTGTGGTGTGTTGTAGAGCCAGAAGATGCACTTCCAATCCACTCCAGTCCTTTCCCTGCAGTCTGTCTGATCCAAGCTGTCCAGTAGCTGCTCACAGAATAAGAGACCTGACAGGTGATGGTCAGACGTTGACCTGGCTGCACAGTCACAGAGGCTGGCTGTGTCAGCTGTTCACACTTCACACCTGTTAAAAGAAGTAAATGGTTTAGAATAAATTATTACATTACAGCGCAAAAGAACTGTTGACCAAGACAAGTGTTACAGGTCCCAGCTGGGGTGACGTGAATACAGAGTATTGATCCTGTTTAATACAACAAAAGACGAGAGACAAAGGTTTGTGGTCTGACGTCTCACTGTGCTCCTAACAGAATTTATTAACATAATGATATCACATCATCTCACAGGTACTGTTATCACTTAACATAACTTGTATCATGAAATCAAAACAAGATTACCATACTCGATGTACTTCCATAAAAAAAACTAAATTCACATTTACATTTTAACATGTGTAAAACTAAACAACCTTAAACATTTAAATCGTT